GTGAAATGTTCACTGCTTGGCAAGAGAGAGACATGTGAGCTTTCTGCCTGGTTACCGGCAGTGGCAGTCAGTTCGCCTGTACACCAGGTGCAGGGATCTGTGACAGTTGTCTCTATGTAAAACTGCCTCAATCCCTTTGTTAATCAAGCACATAACCTGCACTAGTTTTTTCCCCCTAAGAAATAGAAATTGGCACTGATGGCACAGATAGACCTGCAACAGGCTCTGCTTTGTTTATGTGGTACATGCCATTTTCTCCAGTTTCCTGCACCATTATGAGGGTGCAAGGAGCTTTTAGCAAGTTATCTGGAGGGTAGTGTTATATAAGAAAAATGGCCAACCTTATTCAAAGGGTGAAAAGAATCTGTGTAGGGAACCAACGTAAACTGTATATAAAACCATTTTTTTTGTTTTGGATAGAGTAGGAAAGGGTTAAAACCCTTGTCAATTTATTCTTGCTGTCTGTGCCCCATTAGGGATTTTTTTCTATAATTTGCCATCCTGTAAATGCAAAAGGAAGTGGGAGGAAATATCTCCAAATGTAGGGGTATCCCCCTCTTAGACAGTTGTCACTGTAAATGAAGATTTTCCTTTAAGTTTCGTTTGAAATACAACTCTAAAATTAAGGATACTTCCTTACTTTCTGTCTAAATGACAATGTCCAAGAGGAGAAATAGAGGGCTGAATCTCCCCAGCTGACAAAGGAACTAACCCTTTTCCACTTACAAAAACAAAAATGTTTTGCCTTTACACACCCGTTAAATAAGACAAGTTTTACTATTGTTTAATTTAATGGACTGAAAATCAAACAAAAAAAAAACATGTGGCATGCACAAACATTCAGGCACCCTCTTGGTCAATTACATTTTTGAGTAATCCCAGTTCTTAATTCTGAAATACTGTAGCTATTTGTGATAGTCATCTACTCATCTGCTATAATATCGAAGTTTTGCATATCTGCACATCTGACCAATCTACAAGTAGTTCAGCTGATGCTTTTTCTTGGTTTTCATTCACAGTATTATGATGCAGAGAGTGGGCTGAGGTAATTATATCATAGTGGCCCTCTGCATCATCTAGGACTGCCCACCATTAGGAGAGGCTCAGGTGAAGAAGACCCTGCATGTCTCATTACTGGCCTGAAGGTAAGTATAACAGGAGCAATAAAAGGAAAGAAGCAAAAAAAAGGTAAGTATAAAAAACAACAGCAACATTCGGAGCAGGGGGGAGGCACTGGGGGTAGGAGGCTGAGCCCAGAGTTGGGATTTAAAGTTTTCAGGATGTTATTATAGTAATAATATTATTTGGTAATAATAATATTATAATCACTTTTATTATAATATATAGGATGGCATTTTCTGCTGCACTGTAAAAACCTAAGGCAATGTGGCATTTGTTGGGTACATATAGCTAGACATAGATTGGTTCATAGGAAGGTCTATAGATAGATACATTAACAGATCTATAGACAGAGAGCTTTGTGGCTGTTGAATTTAAAGAACAACAATCCTGTTTCCCTGTTATTTACCCTACCTATGTGATAGCTTTGCAGTTTTCTATTTGGAGAAATACTTCACTATTAATTCATTTCAATGGAGCTCTGTGTTTAAGTCCACGTGAACATATTACTCAAATTGTCAGGTCAAGCAATAGTATTTACAAAATGTCATTATCACCATCACCGCTATCCCTTTCTTTTTATAAATCCTGCAGATCATAAGAGAAACCATAAATTCTTTGTTTTTTAGTTTGGGAAGGCCTGGTTCACACCTTTACATTTTGTAGCGCGTTCAACGCTCTACGAACGCTCTACAAAACGCTCAAACATGAAAATCCCATTGTTTTCTATGGGTATGGTTCACACCTTGCCGTATTTCAGCCCGCCTGAACGCGCTACAAAACGGCCTACTCCTGAAAAGGTACATGAGCTTCTTTGCAGCGTTTGTGTTGCACGTTTCCATTGGGATACAGCCAAGTAGCCCTCGGAAACGCGCGTTTGTCACGCGTTTTTTTAACCGCAAATCGCGCATATTCAATACGTCTAGGTGTGAACAGAGCCTCAAGGTGTAATGAATGATTATTATGGCCTACTTAGTACATAGTTAGCAATAGTAGCAGCAAAGAAAATAGCACAAAACGAAAGAGAAAAGATAGGGATAATAAGATGCTCTGTTAGGTAAAACAGTCTTCAATCTTAAATTGACTGCTGACATATCACCAGGAGTTTCATAATTTTGCAAAGAATCACTGGCAGTAGAGAAGCAAAACTCTATTAGATTTAATGCAAGTTTAAAGAGTTTTCCTTTTTTATTTTTAAAGTAATCTACCATTTTTGTGTTGTGCAATAATTACCTTGCAAGCAGCATTTAATTTATACTGTGCTTTAGACATCAGCTTTTTACCGTTTTAGAAATTCAGATATTCTCACATTTAAATGCAGATCACATACTGGTAAGCAGTGCTCACACTATTTTTGGTTTGTTCCTTGATTTATATGCTGTAAAAATCCAGACAATATGCATAAAACAAGAGAGGATATAGTTACAGAATTTTTTTTCCTGAGCAGGTCACAAATGAAATACTAATTGAGTTCATCAACTAGCTAATCCAAATGTACTTAATCATGCAAATTAAATTGACGCTCCAAAAATGTCACTATAAAAACTTTATAGCAATGAATGTCACTCATTTAGGGGCAGATTGTAATGCATTAAATGATGTATTTCAAG